CAAGTAAGTATCGCCATTAATAAATAATGGCCCAATCACAGTGTCGCCTAAAATTCCCGCCCAGACATTTATTTTTTCAGGATACTACGTGTGCCCTGCCCTGAAGAAATGCGGATTTTCGTCACTTCAATATCTGCAGTTGTGTTTGTTCACTGAACCGTTTAAATGAAACGTGCATTCGTCGCTAAAACAAATATTTTTTAGCAACTTGGTAGTAACACGTAACATTTCGGTCATGTCCTCGCAAAATTGCATTCTTCTATCGGGGCCATCGTCCTGCAACTCCTGAAGAATTTGCATTTTGTACGGCTAAAACTTATGAAGTTTGAGTACCCGACGAACAGCTTCATGAGAAATTCCCGTTATCGCCGAAGCTTGGCGTAGAGACATCGTAGGATTCATAGCAAAATGTCCTAAAACTTTCACTTGTGCTGCTTCATTAAGTACTCTTTGATTGACCCTTTTTTTGTTTGCCACTGATCCTGTTTCTTCAAATTTAATAATCAGTTGCCTGATGTAAGTATGACTTACATTTTTTCCGGGGTTTATTTAGTTAAATGCTGCAGCAGTTCTTAAGGCAAAACGATTTTCTGAACCATAAATAAACACAATCTGAATTCTTTCAGCCAAACTGTAGACCATGATGAACAAAAAATAAAAATTATTGTTAAGAATCACCCTATATTTTTTTTAATTGTCATAGATTGTTTAATGTCATGAATTAATATCGTTGTCATTCATCTTTTTATAATAAAAAATACGTTAAAAACTCTACGATTTATTCGATAGCAATAAACATTGGTCCTATTCGAGCAAGATACGTGCCAGCGGGCGAAAAACGAAAGCGATAGCCATACGAAGCGAAAAGCGAAAAACCAAAACTCAAGGGAGAAGGAAGAAAAAGGGTCAGTAGTAAGTTTCTGTTCTTCACTCTTTTCATTCCTTGCATATTCGATATATAAAGTTTAAAAACTGTTTAAATATTTAAAATATTTCTCTTAAGGAGACGTCAAAATGACTGAGATTGAAAGACTCATTAGAAAACGATCTAACTTAATAGAGTCATTGAAATTGTTCGAAAAATTTGTCAAAGCAAATGAGGAAAATACCGTAGGTATAGATAATTCGGAATTATTTTTAATTGAAATTGAGTCAAGACTGTCTAGAGTAGATGATAGTCTAGATAAGTTCGAATTACTTCAAGAACAAATTGAAGAATTGGTCACAGATACACAATTATTGGTAGATCAAAAGACCATCTGTTCAAACTTTAAAGATACTTTTTTTAATTTAATCAGTCGAGCAAAATTACTAATAAAGAAAACAAAAACGGTGTTGCAAGAGCCACCAAATGAAAGGCAAGTCACTAAAAATGACTTTAAATATGCGGAAGTAATATATACTTCCAGCAATTCCGCTGCCTCAGTTTGATGGATCTTACAATTCCTGGGTAGAATTTCGAGACAAGTTTAAATCTCTCATACATAATAACGAAAAAATTAGTGACATTCGAAAGTTTCACTATCTGCGTGAAAGTCTATCCGGAAAAGCAGCTCAAACCATTAAATCCATTGAATTCGGAGAACAATATTATCAAACGGCGTGGAATACATTATGCGATAAATTTAATAATTCTGAAAAATTAATTTCCAATCACATAAGGGAAATTTTTGATTTCGAAGCCATTATTAAACCTTCTTCCTTCAAATTACATGAGCTTGCTGACACTGTGAATAATAATATTGAGTGTTTAAAGCAACTCGAAGAACCGACAGATCACTGGAATTCTCTAGTAATTTTTGTGATCTTAAGAAAACTTGATTTAACTTCTCAACGGGAATTGAAACAACAAAAAATTAATTTAAAAAAACCGATACTTATCAAAAATTTGTTAGATTTCATTAATAGCAGAGCTGATTTTCTGGAAGATCTAGAGGATGGAAAATCCTACATAAAATTAAACGAAAAAAAATTCGAAACTTCGTCTAGCTTCAATAAAAACGAAACACAATTTCGTAAATGTTCTTTTTGCAATAAGGGTCATTTAATTGTTTTTTGTCCAGACTTTCTAGCTTTAAACGTAAAAGACAGAAAGTCAAAAGTCAAATATCTAAATTTGTGTCACAACTGCCTTCGAAGTAATCACCAAGCTAAAGATTGTAGATTAGGAGGTTGCAAATTGTCTCACGAAAAACATAATACAGTGCTTCATTTAGACCAAACATCCCAAAAAGCGTTTGTAGTTACTAATCGTGAGAATGCGAATGCAGAAGTTGAGGTGGAAGATTCAGCCTCTACCTCTACTTGTGCATTGGCTACTGACACATCTGATAATTACAAGATGGTAAATGGTGCAGTTCTTTCTACAGCATTACTAAGTATTCCAAATACGAATCATATAGTATGTTCGTTGCTAAATTGCGGATCGCAATCAAGTTTTATAACCAAACATCTAAGCGAAAAACTGAATCTTCCAAAAATTAAAACCAATTTAGCAGTAAGTCGTTTAAATAAGTCAATTTCGTTTACCGAATATAAATGCGAATTAAAACTAAAATCAGCCTCAAAATCGATTGTCTTTATACAACCATATCCAACAAATGCAACAGCACTTCTGGGAGCGTTGGAGTAAAGAGTATATCTGCGAGTTACAAATAAGGTCAAAATGGAAAGAATCTCAAGAAGCTCTTAAGCAAGGTCAGCTGGTCGTAATAAAAGAGGATTATTTACCAGCAACTAAGTGGAAGTTAGGCCGAGTTTTAGAGTTCAAGCCAGGATTAGATGGTATTAAGAGAGTTGTGACCATCAGAACCAGCAATGGAAACATAACTAGACCGGTATCAAAGATATGTTCATTACCAGTTGAAAGCTGATCTTTCAAGGCGGGGGGCATGTTAAGAATCACCCTATATTTTTTTTAGTTGTCATAGATTGTTTAATGTCATGAATTAATATCGTTGTCATTCATCTTTTTATAATAAAAAATACGTTAAAAACTCTACGATTTATTCGATAGCAATAAACAATTATACTCGTATTTCTTCAATTAGACAGTTCTGATTTTGCAATACAACCTTGCACAAACGACTAAATTTTATACAAACATTGATAGGTAGGTACGTACCCAATAAATTCAATGCTATTTTTTATTCTCAGATAAGTGCTCCAAAATTTTAGAATGGAATTTGAAGTTTTCTTTGTTTACAAAAAAATGGAATGCATGTTGACAATCTAATGAAATAAAATATCATCTTAATAACAATAATCGATTGTACTATCGTTTAAAAATAAATGGAATGCATTTTGAATTATCTGATCAAATAAACATTTTAACAAAATACAGTTATTCGAATTCAATGTTTTTGTTACACCCTGTATGGAATGAAAAAAAATTCTTGAGGTGAGTACTACTAAATGAGACCTTTTATTTGAGGTATAACAAAAGGGGTAGTGCCATTTGACATTTTAATGTTGGGGTGTGTCGTGCCTAAGGGGTGACTCACCCCTTCACTAAAATATGGTAGTTCTAGTTCCCCCCAATTCTATAACATTTGTGCCAAACGGCGTTTCTCCAACTTCTTTATTTTGTGAGATATTAGCATTGAAAGTTTTCAAATTGACACCCTGTATGAAGAAAAGCCGTGTATTGGAAAGAGAAATATAATATGAGTCCTAAGAGTGTATCAGAAGTTAATATAGACTCAAGTATATCTAGGACGAAATACAAGTCAATAATTATGGAAAGGGTTTAGAGATTTAACTTCAATGTAATTGACAATCAAACAATACAATGTAGCATATGTTTATATTTCTTTGTTTTATAGTATGTATGTAAGAGAAGAAAAACGGAAGATTTGATATAAAGATTCAATGTCTTTTTTAAAGGTGGACTTCAAGGGCGCGTGGATCGGTGAATCATGAGTCCAGCCCGGAAGCTCCGCGCCATGGGTGGTTTTTCCCGCGTGTTGTCGGTAAATTTGATGCGAGCCAAAGGAAGTCTAGGCTAGCAGAGTCTTATAGGTCTCGAGCCGGAACTCATACATGTCGTGATTTCGTATTAATTTGCCGAGCCTTGATTACCGAGTCGAGGCTCAACGAGCCCAATCAACAAGCCAGGCTCGCCAAACCACGTGCTATGGGAATCCGCTTTTAGGCGGACTCCGACGGCGCATGGATCAAATTTGGGAATCAAGTTATTTCTGGCGAGGCGTGGTCTTTCCCGCATGTTGTCGGTGAATTTGATGTGAATCAAAGGAAGTCTGCTGGCCGAGTCTTGTAGGTCTTGAGCCGGAACTCACATTGCATTCATTTGCCGAGTCGAGCCTTGACGAGCTCAATTCACAAGCTAAACTTGCCAAACCACGTGCCATGAGAATCCGCTTTTAACCAGAACATAGCGATAAAATGAAGAAAGATAAATTAGAAAAAATATAATAACTTGAAAGCACTTATAAAGTATTTTGAAGTTATTGATAACTAAAAATAAAAGATGTATTGAAAAGAGTTATTTCGAAATATAAAAAGAGTATCAAAAATAAAAGATTATATAACCAAGTATTGATACCAGAAAACCTATTAGAAAATAACTAAGATTTAGTAGTAAAGTTAGTATATTGAAGCAATGAAAAACAGATTAATTAGATAGGAAACAGATCTTAAGAAACATTAAGTGGATAAATAGTTAAATTGATTTTAAAAAGCAAAAAATTGTAAACAAATTCAGTAACAGCTATTAATTAGATTAAATCATAAAACATGTGTAGTTTTTAATGTAAATTAGACAATGTGTTATGAATTTGTAAATTTGATCATATAAAATATTTTTTTTTTCAATTTTACGGATTAAATTCTACTGTCAGATAAAATGTTTTTGAGGTCATATTCATATTTTCTGTAATAACTTAATGTAGGTAGGTAAGTTGTTTTTCTTCTCATATTTTGTGGATTAAAAAGATGAAACGAATAAAATTCTATTTAAAGCAAAAAGGAAAGATACCAACCTATCAAATTTCGGTTGTGAACAATTGTATGCTAGTTGCCCTAAGCTATGGTGTCTTGAAACGTCGTGTGGGTGTTCCGGAAATGTAGTAGGCGTAGATTGGCGATGATGAGTGGGGTTTCTCCAGTAACTGCTCTCCATACACATCGTAGGTGGTTCAACGAAAGGAGTCCTCAAACTTCGATCCTAAAATAATTTTATTTTAACAGGAATATCCAAGTTTTGTAAATAGTTTATTATTTATCGAATTAAATCAGTAATTGGGTAAACTAAATAAAAAAACAAAAAACAATCGGTTATTCATTCGAAGATGAAGATAGATTTCTTTAGAAATATTTAAATAAATATTTCAATATAACCCTTACGAAATATTGAAAACTATTTTTCAATCCACAAAGTGAAAACAAATTTAGTTAAAAATTGAAAAAACCATCCCGGACTGAAATTCTAACCCACTGTTTAAATATCATCTTTACGCAGATGGCACCCAGATATATTATTCTTTTAAAACATTTAGTAAGTGAGAGTGGGGAAATTGTGCACGTCGGGTAATCGTGCGCATCACACTATTTCATATTTCTCGCGCTTTTAAGCGCCACCGACTAGTGCTGCGCTCTTTCCTTTCTACTGTGCAACACTGACGCTATTACCAGAAATAAGGAAGATAAAGATAGGAAACGCTCATAAGAAGCCAATGCTTAATAACGACCAGCTTTAATGCAGTTAACATCTGACTCACTATGTGGCGCTGTCATCGATATCAAACAAATATTGCAGCGGGAAATTTAAAAATCTGATAGTTAAGGTTGTATAAATATCGACTGCACTTTCACGTTTTGGTAAATAAATATAAATAATGTAATTACGGTAAATTATTTATTAAAAAGAATACTACACTTACAGTCTATTATCGATTAATTATTGTAAATCTATTCATGGCAAATATTTTTTTAATTTTTGATCGTTATGGGTAACATTAACATTTTTGTTCTTATTTTCCAAACGAATGGCCAATGGTGTCTTATTTAAAAGTGATGAGTGCAAACTCAATAATGGGGATTCAGATATTTTTCTTGATATATCAAATCTTCTTTCTAACGTTTTGAAGCCATTTTCTTGCTCTAAAACAATAAATAGTAAATAAATACCTACTTTGTGACAAAAGTTGGCTACTACTTGTGTAACTTACATGACTAGATCTTACTTTGGTTAATTAAAGAACACCACATTAGGATTGTTACATTTATTCATGTGGCATGTGTTACTAATGCAATACGTTCTCCGACTTGTTGTAATATTACAAAATATATTTATTGTCCTCAAATTTCAGACAAAAATAGCTACAATCATTTCGCTTAGTTCATCTAGAGGATAACACAATCGTGAACAGGATTCAGCGATATACATACCACTAACTGACATTTATATTTACAAACTGTCCACGTCTACTGTCTGTCTACAACCAACGTGTACCTTAAGTTAACATCTGAGACGCATAGATGACGCCATCGTTACTACGGTCGCTGCGTTTCCTATCTTTATGTCCCTTATCTCTGGCCATTACTCACTTCAGTTGTTTACGTTTGCACTGAACCAGCCCTGTTTATTTGAAATTATCTTCATATTTGAAATCCAGTCAGTTTCTTTAATTTTTTAACATCGGAAAATAAGACGGTGAGTCCACTTTTTGTCCTTAATCAATAAGATATATTTATTTTATGGAAAAGTATCATCTTTTGCATCTATTGGTGCTTATTTTACATTATTAGGTTATGTTGTTTGCTAACTGTATTACAGATTGTCATTTAATTTCTAAAGGGGTAATGATGCGCGCTGATGCGCACAATTACCCCACACGTAATATATTTTTTTTTCAGATGCCGAGAAATTATACAAGGAAAACCATAATTCTTTCATGTAAGAAACATTTACAAAACGCATTATTTGAGATAAGAAATGATGGCAGAAAAATAAGGGATGCAGCAAGGGCCTTTAATATTCCTGAATCGACACTGTCAGAAAATGAGCCTCGTTTGCTTTGCAAACCTGTGTTTTCAGAGGAAATGGAATCTGAATTAAGAGAGTACATTTTAACGCTAGCAAAGCTATTTTATGGCCTAACACCCAGGTGTCTTAGACGACTAGCTTTTTAGATATGCTGAGCAACATGACATTTACCATAAATTCGACAAGGAAAAGGGATTAGCTGAGAAGAACTGGCTATATGGATTTTTAAGGAGATCACCCAATATAAAGCTACGGCACCCTGAAGGAACCAGTTTGAATAGGATTGCATCTTTTGAACCTAAGAGTGTTTACAACATGGATGAGACAGGCATCACCACGGTGCAGAACAAATGCCCTAAAATTTATGGTCGTAAGAATTCTAAAAAAGTAGGAGCTGCAATTACTGGCGAAAGACGAAGAACAATAACAGCTATAATTTGTATGAATGAGGCTGAGAACTACATCCCTCCCATGATAATATATCCTAGGAAAAGTATGCTCAAAACTCTCGAGGAAAATGGACCAATTGGGGCGTTGTACACATGTTTTAAGAACGGTTGGATCAATTCTGGACCTTTTCTTTAGTGGCTGGGTCACTTTCAGACGCACTGTTACTGATCCTGTCCTTCTGGTCCTGGATAACCATTCCAGCCACATTTCAACTGCAGCTTATAATTTCTGCAAAGAACATAACATCCACATGGTCTCGCTTCCTCCACACACATCTGATCACCTTCAGCCTCTGGATATGACATTTTTTAGCCCTCTGAGAAATGCACTGTTTAGGGAATATGATCTTTACTTGTCAAGTACCGATCATCAAAAAATAACTGAATACGACGTAGCAGGACTTTTCAACAAAGCCTTCATGAAAGTGGCTACAATGGAAAAAGCAGTTTCAGGGTTTGGGACGTCTGGAATATCTCCATTGGATCCCGACAAATTTACCGATGCTGATTTTGAACCTAGTCACCATGTAGGAAAACTTACAGTAGAAGCAATACCTGAACTTGAAACTTCATCTAGTCAAGATGGTGCAGCAACTCTTCCAGATAATCACCCAGATTTACAACATTACAGAGATCCGAGCCCTCAGCCAGTGGCATCTTATGATAATTCTTTGTTTGCTATGGCTCCAATACCAAAAACAAAAGTTAACCAGACGAAAAGAAAATCTAGGAACAAACAGAAATAGGAAATTCTTACGAGTACTTCCATCAAAACAAAACTAGAAAAAGCTGAAGAGAAAAAAAGACAACGAGAAGAAGCAATCAAAACCAAACAAAAACTGAAGGATACGAATAGTTAAGGAGTTATTTGTAAATGTTTGGACGGTGAATTATCAAAGAAATTCAAAAGCAAACAAAACAGACCGCCAACGCCTGAATCATCTGATTCATCAGAAGATGATGTGTCGGATATTTGTGATGACGATGAGCTGGATGATTGAAGATGATATTGGACTGAGCTTCGTACCGCCACCTTTGAATCAGCCAGGGAAACTTACCGAAGTTTGTGGTATTTGCGGTGAATTTGGCAAACAATATGGTACAGATGTGTTCTTTGCTCAACTTGGAACCATGCCGAATGTACTGGCTCAGATACCCCGAAAAATTATAAATATGTGACCTCTGTCCAAATTAGGAGTTGGTATTATGTTTTTTTTATGTTCCACAACTTCAATAAATGTTTTTAAAGTTAGTGTTGGTTTTATCTTATACTTAATACTTTTAATGCGCACGATTCCCCAACACCTGCGCACCATTACCCGCAACGGCGGGGAATGGTGCGCAAGAGCACTTTTATACTTTCAGCAGTATTGTACTTTAAATATTTTATTTTTTCCTAAAATTGATTTACTTGCTGAGAGTAGACTAAATAGCACCCCCATTAGGGTATTAACATTTAAATTATCTACAATGCTATCAGTGCTATAACGATTTTCGCCTAAGTGCGCACAATTCCCCCAGTCTCCCTTATTTGCGAGGCCATTAACAAATATCAATACTGGTCTAGAAAAAATTGTCTCACTATCAGACAGGCACCGTCTTAAAATTAATCCTAAACAATCGAATATCGCCTTATTTTGCATTGATTTTGAAAGGTCCAATTGAAACATTGAACTTAATAATCAAACTTTAAAAGTTCAAAAGTACTGTAAGAACTTGGGTTTAATCATAGACTCCAAATTCATTACTATAGTTTATTTGAAATAGAATGATAGCAAAAATTTTATGACCCAGGAGATACACCTCAATATAACATCCTAAATCAGCGACGGAGAGTTTCTAAAATAAAATGTGTAGCATTATTTGTTCCAAAATAAAATTTTTGGATTTCTTCCTAAAATTTTTTAAAATACCAATTTATTTCAATTCTTGCCTTAAATTTTCTAGTCATTTTAATTAACAAAAATAAGGTAAATATGTAATATCTACATGTAGAAAATATTTACCATTCAAGATGAATTTAAGTAGCTCTCAACTTTCTTAGAAAGTATTACAATTTCTAACAGGCAGAAAGTGTTATGCAGATTGTAAATTATTTTAGTTATGGTTTGCATTTCTGTTTATATAGTCCTGTGACTGTACCATGCAGAATTTTTATTTCTGTAATAATAGGCGATAAAAAGCAATATTGATCAAGTGAATTTGTGCAATAAAAATGACACAAACATTTTATTATACTCCTGTGAAATTAAAGTGCAATTTAACCGTGCATATGAAAACTTTAGTGCAAATGTACATGACGCTCTTGTACATGAACATTTCAATAGTACTGTTCGGGGTATAGCTTCTAAGTGTTCAAATATGACTGGAGTTGGAGAAGCAACCATTTATAGACTTTTGAAGCTGGAATGATTATAGTAGCACCTAAAACGTTAACTGGAAGAAAACCCATTCAAATAGAGGGTACTGTGAAACAACTGATCTGAAGAAAAGTGCATTCGTTTTATTTACAAAAAATATACCTACTTTGAATAAACTTTTAGTAGACATTAATGGAGACGAAACTTTACCAATGGTTAAAAGAGATAAATTGTGGAAAAATTTACAAGAATTAGAATTAGTTTGGGAGAATAACGATAGAAAATCTGCGCTCATAAAAAAAAATGAAATTATTTGTTGGAGAGGCAATACTTAAGGGAAATTAGAAAATTAAGAAGAAAAGAAAAAAAT